AAAAAAAAAACCTGTTTTGCTGGACACAAGTGTAAAAGAAGCAGTGTTGGCCACATTTGTCTTGAATACCATCCTACTGACTTTTCCCTTGTAGGAAAGGGATTATCACCTTGCAAGACTTCAACAGTTTCATCTGTTAATGAAATGCGGATGTCATTTCAAATAACGTGCGTGCTTAAGCATGGCTTTCTTGAATGGTAAGGGTATTTGCTGGTACTTTGGTGCAGGAACATGCTTCATTGGTTGCTCATGTTTCCGCATAGGCAGTGCTACAACACAGTGGAATAGAATTACCTAATGTGTAATGGGTTGATAATGCTGGTTAATTTGTGCTAGCTAGCATTTTGTCAGCTGCTCTTCTGTTTTTCCCTCTCTTACAGAGGCCATTTTAAAGCTTCATCTTGTTACAGAAGAGCTGGGGGTTTTTTTCCAAACCATTGTGGAACCTCCTAAGAGCACTTTTTGGTCAACATAGCACCCACGATTCTCAACTCTATAATAGCTGCTACAAGTAATGGTTGCTGCTTTCTTCCAGAAGTGCCCGGTCGCTGGTGATGGGGGTAAGGTCTTCCCAAATCCAGCTCTCAGTGTTCACGCAACGGTTGAAACGCTTTCCCTCTTCAGTCTCTTCCTTATAAAAGTTACTAGTGCCCCCAGGGGTATGCACATGGTGGATGCCGCCACCAGCAGCCCAATCACTGCTAGGGCGTAGCCGGGGTAGTCCTTTGTCACCAGCTGCCCCTGCAAGGGAGAGAAGGAGCGTTGGATCTGTGGGATCTGTGGTTTTCAGCATCCTGGAGTTGAGTCTGGAACAAAGCTCTGTATTTAAACAGGACCTCTGAGAAGCGCTTGCAGGCTGCAGCAGCCCCTCACTGTCCTCGGTGCTTTTCTTTCTCCAGCCATACAAGCTTAAAATTGACATTTTAAAATTACTCCCATTTTACAGAACCGTGGCATTGTTGTCACTAAGTCCAGTTTTCCCTTTCCACAAAATTAAGGAGTTGCCCTGACTTCAGCTGCAAGCTTTCAGAAGGCAGTTTTGTGGAACAATGTAGTTAGGAAGGAAGGCTGTGTCCTTGCAGGAATTAAGGAAAGTTTTAAAAAAACCCCAAACCAGAACTATTTTACCTGTGTGGCATCCCATGCTTGGTATTGCAGCGTTCCTGTGAGGATATAGTCGGTGAGGTAAAATATAAATAGGCTTATAATTAGCAAAGGACTAACGAAAGCCCACATAATTTTCCAATACCAGTTTGGCTTGTGTCCAATCATGGTGTGAAGATCTTTCTCAAATCTGTGTTTAAAAAAAACCACAACATATTTTTGAGAACAGCTGCATATATTCAGTCGATACCTTGATCTGAGTTACTTCAAAACCACCTACAGAATTAAATATGTAAGATGGGAAAGGGGAGCATAGTTGACCAGAAGAGTAATGAGCGGAGAGGTATTGTCTGAAGAACTGGATCAGCAGGATTAGTGAGGTTGAAATAAGGAAGCAGGGCTTCTGAGAGGATCCCAAGCTGCGGAAGAGTAGCTAGGAATAGGTATAGCAGGAACAGTCCCAACAAAATTCTGCCTGGGGTGTAAGGTCAGACTGTTAATGGTGTAAGCTGTGGGAGAAAAGTGATTATGCTTAAGTAATGTGGAGAAAACACTGTGCATTTTTGTGTAGTTGAGTTGATCTCACCGCTGTTACTCAGCTGTCTTTGAGGAAGTACTGATGCTGGGGATGGTACCTAAAATCACGCAGGAAGCCTGGATCTGACTTGAAGGCTTTGAAGTAAGTCATCACCAAGGACGTAATACCACTGTAGGTGCCTGTACGTGTACTGTGCTAGCGGACTAACAAATACTAAAGCCTCTTCCTTTGTGCTCAGGGCTTCTAAACACCTCTGCTGTGTAAAACCTTGCCTGATGCCGAATCTTGCTTTTACCCACAAGGGATGACTTTGGGAGACCAGGGATGTGCAAGGTGTAGAACCAGACTTACTGGCACTGTTGTGCTCATGCTGAATTGCTGCGAAAGGAGAAGCAGGGTTTCGGCAGGAGGTGCTCTTGAGACCAAAGACCAGAAGAGCCGGGAGCAGTGTGTATGGCTCATTGGTACTCCCCTGCCTGCAGAGAAGGCGTCAGCCCAGCCTGGCCCCCACGCAGCTCTGCCCCGAGGCCCTGGAAGGGGTCTGCAGAGCAGGGGAGTCCCCGTTGCCTTGCTGATACCTTGCTGATACCTTAGCGTAGGAGAAGAATTTAGCCCGAGGCTGGTATGTTTATTCTTGGCCCTGTGTGTCTTGGCCAGCAGTCACACCCCTGCTATCCCACTACGAAGAAAGGAGGGTTCAAGCTTTTACCTTCTTATCCCGTAGATGTAACACACAGCAATGGTTTCCACCAGCACGATGAGCAGCAGCGAGAGGGTGGCTGCGTAGTCGTTGAATATGTCAAACCAATAATTTCCAGCCTCCATGGTGAAGATTAGGCCAATCACGCAGTTAATGAAACACACAACACCTGCATGGATAAAACAGGGACCCTGCCGTTACACCTGGAAATGTAATTGCGTGGGGGAAATGTCATACTTCTTGTGGCTAAAAAGCTGGTAGGATTTCTACTGATTTCTGTTGGGGAGCAGCTTTCTCGGAGGAGAAAGATAATTTTTTGCCCTTTGGAAAAGGCCTGGTTCTGTGTGTGTGTGTGAACGTGCTGGTGTACCCTTAAACTGCTGCTCCTTAGACCTGCACAGCCACAGCACATTGGTGCAGCAAAGACAACCAAGTCTTAGCAATAGCCTTGTCACGTAACATCATCTGCTGTTACTGCTGGGCATCCAATTAAAACTGATTTCCATGCCCAAATGGGAGCACGTGTCGCCTTTGGCCAAAGACTGAGCTGGTTCGCAGTTGGGATACCAGTGATGTGACTGAAGAGCCATTCACTGCAGGTGTCTTGAGGTGTCTCCTGGCCCTTTGAGTTTCACTGGTCAGTAGACACCGGTCTGAAGGAGCTGGGGTGTGTTGGGAAGCTTGCAAATAGACAGTCACGATTGCCCCAGTGCATTGAGAGCTCCGGAGGGGAAGTGCTGTACAGGCTGGGCAGGATTTCCCACGGGCAGGCAAACCCTTCTGGCAGCATTTTTGATATTCTCCCCTCCACCGGAGGTCAAAGCCGGACCCTCAACAGCTGTGGGCCACCAAAGCTTTTGCCCACGCGTGCTCTCTCCCTGCACGGCCTGTGCTGCTCGTGGCAGGTGCTTACCTGAGATCACCTCCTTGGGGAAACGGGCAGCAATGACCCTGCTGTCGGTCAGCGGTGTGAGGATAGCGGCGGTGTTTCCCAGCATGCTGCCGATGCCCAGCATCAGCAGCATGACAAAGTAGAGCACGGAGTACAGCTGGGGCACCTCCATGTTTTTGATGGCTTCAGAATAGACTATAAATGCCAGTCCTGTCCCCTGGACAGCCTGCCGGCGAGAAGCGGGGGAAGAAGTGAGTTGTGGGCAGCTGCTCAGCTCAGTAAGGCACATAAGAATAGGTACACATGAGACTGAACCTCCACAACAACAAAATACACCCGTGGTGGTGGGCCTGCACAGCAGAGGCAGATGAGATCTTCACTAATTTATTCAAACTAGATAGAAACTGGCACAGTCCCACTCGTAGCGAAAACATTCGCCCCATACCTTTGCGGCCTGCCCTGTCCCACAGCTGGAGCCAGCAGACTGGCTGCATCGCCACCCGGCT